ACCACTGATGTAGATGCTTGAAAAATTGAGGGAATTTTCATCAATCATAGTGTAATCAAAGTAATTTTGGATTACATAAAAATTCAGTCCTAAATCTGTTTTAAACATATAAATTTATTTACATTTATTTTTGTTGCAACTAGCATTATGTTTTTTTTTGTGGAATTAAAACTTCAAAAAAGAGATTTGAATTATTTAATATTAATATTTTTAAAATCTATGAGGTGCCACTGAAAAGTTATCAGCATGACTAAAAAAAAAATTCATGTTTTTTCATTTGGTTAAAATTGGGGAAACTAGTTTTGCTGCTAACTTTTTCAGTTAAACTTGTGTATATATGATGATGGCTGCTGTCCACTTGATGAACAAGGATGATCACAATTTATGTTCATACAACTCTATATTCTCTATGATGAACTAATACCTTTATTTTATTATTATATGTTCCATGCAGTTGAACATGAAATCCTGTGTGGCTTTTCAGACTGGCTAATAACTTGCACACTTTATGGCACACCACAGAATATGTTCTCACATGATTTATAATGAATGTGTTTCGAATATGATTGTTGTTTCTATACACTTTCATAATAATAATTATATACACTCTCATAATATTTATTATAATAATTATATACACTCTCATAATAGTTATTATAATAATTATATACACTCTCATAATAGTTATTATAATAATTATATACACTCTCATAATATATATTACATATATGCTTCCAATCAAATCATGCTTAAGGCACTGGTTCTCATTCGATAACCAAAAATTAAGCAGTACCTAATGCTAATGGTTAATAATAAAATTTGGGACCACTGCCAAAGGTCATGCCCTTGTGATAGGCTTCAGGCATTACAAGGCCACCAATGGCTTACTACCAGATTATTCAAATCCTATGCAGCAAAGGCAGTCCTCAATTATCTTAACTGGTTCTTGTCATTGGATCAAGGCTGTCTGATGCTGAGTTGCATGAGTTATGAATAACAATAAACAATCGCATAGGTGCCTTCAGATTTGCAAAGTTTGGGAAGAAGCACTTCATTTGTTGCAGCCTGTTTGGTGGAGGTCCTCATGCAATGAGTGGGTGGCCATCATATAACATGTATATTCTTCATATATGCAAAAATTTGAATATATATATATTTGTAAATAGACAAATTTTCCTTATATATATATATATATAATATATATATATTATGTTATAATTTTTTTTTTATAAAAAATAATTATATATATATATATATATATATATATAGACCTGGGTATGATAATAAAGTAGATTGGCAACAAGTTGTGAGAAGCATGGAACCACCTATTAGTTACTGTTGTTCCTAGGTGCAGCTTGACCCAGGGCGGAAGCACCAGTTAGGGTTCCATCTATAGGCAAATAGTTTACACACTATGAAAGTATGAAAATGGATTTTTATTGTAAAAATACCAGCAATGCATATTTATAGCAACATTACCAAATTATTACCAAAGCTCTGAAAAACATTAAATTTTGGCATTAAATGACCCATGAGAAATTAATATGCCATTAAACAAACAAATCAATATATATATATATATATATATATATAGATAGATAGATAGATAAAAACAAAATATATAATATTTAGTTGGATTGATGTGAGTTTGTGACCCTGAGTTTCACACTATTCGTGATTGTCAGAAGTTTGTCTAATGATCGCAAATAGCTTGAAAACCAAGGTCACAAACTCACATCAATCCAACTGAATATGTTAACTCTATCACTGATATTAAGTGCTTTCCAATAAGTACCGTGCATATATATATATATATATATATATATATATATATATTTTGGAGAAATTGTATAATAAAGTGGAAAAGTTTACTTGTAATGCATTTTGTCCTTCATCAGAATCAATTTATTATGTTGGTAGGACTACACATGTGCATGACAGGGGATTTTAGATTTTTTTTTTTTCTTATCTAGCTGAATTCATTATAAAAAAAATTTTCATTCAAAAATCCAGTTATGAGCCTGTGTAGTCCTACTGTAGTATACTGTAGTGTACTGTGTAGTCCTACTGACACATAACAAATTTAGTCTGATGAAGTCCTGAAGGACAAAATGCATCACAAGTCAACATTTTCCACTTTGTCATACAATTTTCTCAATACTGTTATTATATATATTATATTTATATATAAAGCCCTTGACACATTTACATATGTGAATACATCTTTTTATAAAGAATATGTAATGTTTTTATGATTTCAATGAATATTCTGATATTGTGGAGTAGTTGGTTATAAATTCATGAATGTCTTGGAGTCTTATATTTTAAGTAGATCATTTGTAATTCCAGGTTTTTTATATCTGCCTATATGTATGAACAAGGATTAAGCACACAAAGTTTAGCCCATGAAAAATATGCAAATTATATACACAAACACATACAAGTCTATGTATAAATTTACCTAATTGGACAAAAAAAAACAAGGTCTTTTATTCTAAGAACAAAAATGAATAATACATGTATTTACATAAAATTTTTCTATGTACATATAAAAAAAAAAAAAATCACTCACATTTATATGTGAAAGCAAGTGATTTTTATTATATATGCACCCATGAGTACACTCACCAACCCCCACCCACATATAGGCACATGCAGCATATCTGTGCAATGCAATTTGTGTAATGTGGACATAAAGACTTTGCCAGTGCAACAATATTGATGAGCTGATGTCACGTCATATGCAGATGGTATTTTCTGCAGTATAAAAAGTCAATAAAGTTATCTATTTCAACAGAATGACTGGGTGTGAGGTGACAGGTTGGGGCAGAGGTGGGGTGTTTACTAAAGGTGAGGAAAGAATGCAACAGGCAATGGATCCCTGCCCTTGTTTTTACGCAAATTATCATCAAATTGTGTGCGTGTGTGTGTGCGCGTGCTCACTTTCTCTGAAAATTCAACAACTTACTCATAGCTCCAAGTAACATTTCATGTTCTTGACATCACCAAAGATGTGCTGAGATACTTTGTCGATGATTATATGTAATTAGTTTGATTGTATGTAGAGAAAATAGTCATCAAAATGGCATTTGTATTTCAGCTTGTCGGGTTCATAAAAAGTCTGATCTTCAATAGTCAATGTTAAATATTGTTTTATAATAGGGTTTTCCTGTATGTACAAAAGGAAATATGATTTTGTTTAGCAACATTGTTGAAAAAAAAATGATTCCTATATTTTGATTCCCATATGCTGATTCCCATATTTTGATTCCTATATGCTGATTCCCATATTTTGATTCCCATATGCTGATTCCCATATTTTGATTCCCATATGCTGATTCCTATATTTTGATTCCCATATGCTGACTCCCATATTTTGATTCCCATATGCTGATTCCCATATTTTGATTCCTATATGCTGATTCCCATATTTTGATTCCTATATGCTGATTCCCATATTTTGATTCCTATATGCTGTCAAAAGGAACAAAGATAATCATAAATACATGCCAATAGTTTCAAACATGAGCCTTTGTTTCAACAACCCAAACAATTAATAACATTTTATCATGTGAATTAAAATTTGGTGGATATTTGTTATATATTTTGAAGTTTTTAACTCCTTTGGTGATGGAATTTATCAGATCTGCCATCTTCTCTTCTGGGATAATCAATAAAGTTGAAAGACAAAGCAAATATTTTACCAAAAATTTTCAAAACATTTGGCAAATTTTATAATCTGAAAATGGCTCTGATATATTCGATAGAAGTCATGCCAACAGATTGATTTGGACATGAAAAATGATTAGCAGCTTTTTGGATATACCATTCTTGATTCTTTTTTGCTGTGTGGCATGAAACTTTCTCTGCTACTTTTGTCAATGTAACCATTATTTAAATATTGGAGAAAGTCCTTCCAAAAGAATGAATGCTTGACCAATATTCTCAGATTCCAAATGTAGTAAATGACTAATTCTTTGAATTGTTTTCTGTACCATAAGTAAAAATTGGCCATATTTGATAGTAGGCTGTAAATTCTTGGATCAGATAACCTATAAATCTATGAGTGCTGAAAAGTTCTCAGCCCAACTAAGAAAGGATTTCAAAATCTTCTGATGTTTGGTAAGTGGATTTTTTGGCACCCTTTTGCATATATGGCTGCCGTTTGAAAACAGAGCATCGGAGAACTTATGTAAGAAGAGTTCTATTTACCTTTGACTTTTGCTGCTGAATAGTGGTTTCTCTAAGAGGTGGCTTTCTTCTGGTTGCTCTACAATAGTAGGGCATGTGGTAGACAGCATATTGTCATTATTGGCCTGATTTAAACACACTTTTCTATATGAACTATCCTGAAAAATATTTTTTCAGTTTTTCATCTTATCACACGAGAGATATTTTGCAGTGGTTTCCTTTCCTTTGTCAGTTGACAATAGCTGAAAGTGGATTTCCCAACTTTTAATATTGATGTCATTTTATTTTACCTTCAGATTCACCAATCACCCCACCCCAATCTTACAAATCCTCTGTATCTGGATTGTGAGGAATTGTGAAATGATTGTGTGGTTATTTCACATGGGGTTTCAAAAATAACTGAGCAAATGTAAATAATGTTTATGAAACTGAATCTAAAAAAAATAATAAACAATAGTGTCTAGTTACTTATATGCCTGTTTATAAACAGATATCTGAATGTGTGTGTGAAATTTTGTATTTGTTGGGCAAGGTTTTAGAAACTGCAGAGATGTATATTTCTTTGTGTAAATTAGATATACTAAGCAGTTTTTTTTTAGGAAAAGGGACACATGATTTTGAATTTATAAAAATGTGTAAAAAGCACCAAATTAACAAAGAACTAAGCTTGTAGCCTTCAAGAAGGATTCATCTTGGAGATGGGAACAAAGAAAAAGAAGTTAGTTCATTTTATAAACTTAAATTTCTTGTCCAGAAGATTTCTGCTAAATTTAACTTTGTTAAAAGAGAGAGAAATAATGATGACTTACCTCCAGAACAGTGGTGACTATTTTTTCAACATTGGAAAAATAAGTCTGCCACAAGAACTGTGTCTGCTGTTGCAGGCTAAGAATTTGTTCCTCAGGAATTGAGCGAACAATGGATGGAACCTGAAAATGAACAAAAAAAATATGAGCATTGAATTAGCTTCTTTTTTTTAACAATAAAGTTCACCCTGTACAAGGCCCAAGAGCCACTTAAGGTAGAGGGTTACAGAGTAGGAAGCACAGTTTATGAGGATATGTGGGGAAGATAACAGTTAACTTTTTGCAAAGTAGATTTTGCTCAACATTATTTTACACAGAAATCAAACAATCTGGAAAAAAATTGCTTCACAAGATTCCTTCATTGTGGAATGGGCAAACTGCTGCATTTTATGTGAACAACAGTACTTTTATAAGAATATAAAGCATACCAATTATTATAGAAGTATAGTTAGTAAAGCATTGCAGGAAGATCACAAAGAGAGAAAGATTGGATTGGCATCAAAGGAATAGTAAAACTTAAAGGTTTTCTTTTTGTTTTTGACTTTTTACTAGTGAACAATATAGATTCATTTGTTTTTTCCACCTGAGAAAATGAAACTGGACATCAGAAATTTTCAGGATATTTGGAATTATATTTATGCAAAGAAAGAAACATTTATAAGAAGAGAAATCTTTGAAGTGGAGAACAGAATTAAACATCAAAGTTTGTGAAAGTTATAATATTAGTCAGATGGAAACAGCAAGTACCTCAATGGAAAAACAATAAAATAACACACCACACAAAAAAAATGATAAAACTAAGCAAAGTTATACAAATGATTACAGTTGACACGTGGAAAAAAAAAAAAAAAGAAAAAAGAAACAAGTTTAATTTAAAAATATATCAAAAACACAGAAAAAAAAAGTTACATCAAAATATGGTGATCAAAAAATAAAATATGTAATTATACATATCTTAATGTATACCAGGAATTGTTTTAGGGACATGCAAGTGAAAAATTATATAATTTATATATATATATTTATAAAAATTATTTTAAAAAATAAAAAATATAATAATGTTACTTAGTTATTTCCCAATAAATAAATATTCATACAAATAAATGTGATGTTTTGTTGTAAATATGATTTCCAAGGATTTTTTTTTAGTAATATTTAATTGTCCATAATTACAAAATTTATTAAATTTGATCAAAATTTGTGTATAAGGTGTTTATTCTAGACCAAAGTGCATGCATATTTCAAATAATGTTTGTTTCTATAAATTATCTGATTTATTAATGTTGAATTATACAAAATATTTTCTTTTCACTAATTTTTTTTTATATGCAGATGCACACACATTATATATATATATATATATATACATACAGTAAAGGTAACAAATCCATTGGTATATAATCCAAGTGGATCCTAGTAATATAAAATATTAAAACTGATCCACAAAAAGGGCTTAATGTATTTATAATTACAGAGCAAATAATTAATAAGATCCCAAATCCCTCATATAAAGAATGGTCTATTTTTGCAGGCAAAAATATCGGTCATCCCTCTTATCAACCCCAATGTGGACTATATATATATATATATATATATTATACACACACACAAGCTAATAAATACACACTGTTTAAAGTAAAAATAAAAATGTAGTGTCTATTTCAAATATGAGTATACACTATAATAGCATTTGATGTAATAAAAAAGTCAGATTAAAAAAATATCCTTTAATTATATATATAAGAATAGGTAGGAGAAAAATGTACATACACAAATACTTGCACATACATAATTATATTTATTCCTAAGAAACTCCAAGTAGTTTTATCGATGTTTGATATTATGTTATTCAGCTTTATATATATATATATATATATATATATATATTTAGGCAGCATATCTTCATTCAAACTTGTTTGATTGAATAATCTAGACATATGTCTATTTCTTTTATTTTAAAGCCTCTCAAATTCAAGGATCAATTTTTTTAAATGTTGTTATTAAACTGATTAAGAAAGATAATATAGTTTTGGTCATTTCTTTTATTTTCCCAAATATTTTCAGTCACAGCCAAGATCATCATCAGGGGTTAAGTGCTAAGACAAAAAATTAATGTAATTCATAGTTGTGAATTTTTTGGTAAATTTGCACGAAATGCACTCTGTTATAGTCTATATATATATATATATATATAAAGAGAAACAAAGTTACCAACCAACAAAAAGTAAACATGTACAAAATGAAAAAAATGTTTTGGAATTTTTTGCAGAAAATTAAAAACACTAACATAGTTATTAATATTTTTTGTCAATGATTAAATGGATGCAAACATTAGTAACAAAGAATTTCCAAATGACTTCCAGGACAGAACCAATTTCAATGCCTTCTTCCTGTGCCACAATAATAGTATTTGTAATTGTTCTGCTTTGCTATAAAGTTTAACAGAGAGAATAATGGCTGAAAACTCAACAATAGGGAAGCATGAAGAAAAGTTTGAGTGCAAAGCAATTCTTATAATGTTCCAAAGCAAATCTTCATACTTGAGCCAGAGTTTGGGTTACCAAGTACCTTTGCAGCCTCTGAGAAAGCAAGATACAACAAATCATGACATAATTCATATTGAAAATTCCAATGAGCCCAATATAATAATAAAAAAAAAAAAAAAGAATCTTACAGACTTTCTCTGGGCAAATTGGATGTGGACAAGCAGAACACAAAAACACAAATTAGAAAAAAGATTTACTGTATGCTAAAAGCATACATGATGTAGGCAAACATATATATTTCCACATATGCAGCCATATCAGAAAATAAATATAGATCTATATAATGATAATAAAAAACACATCATTACATATAAGCATATATTTGCCTACAGGTGTGTGTGTGTGCTTACAGATATGTATGAACAAGTAGAAGCATGGAAGGAGGCTGAATTAAAATTCTGAAGTGGTTTCATTGACTTAACACTAATAGCCTTGGGAAAATCATGAACCCATTTCTTCATGCCACTACAAAATATAGCAAGGCAAATTGAACTCTTTAACCTTATGAGGGCAACCAATCCAGCAGAAAAGCAATTCTGAAAGCTCAATGACAGCGCAACATAGGCCAGCCTGGCAGGATAAGGCCTATTACTCCCAAAGTCTAACTCGAGAAAGGACTGATTCATGTAGTGAACTGAAATTATATATATATATATATATATATATATATATAAGTGAACATAGAAGTCAACACTCAGAATGTTCACTTTAATATCTGTATTTACATACACTATCTATGATATTGAACACTTTATCCCATAAATATAGCACACCTTAAAACTATATTTCTTTATATATATATATATATATATATATATATATATATAGGGCACTTTGACATGGTCTAATAGTTAGCAAGCTTGTCTTGCAAGGATCAATTACAACTGAGCAGTGGGTGCACCATACTTTCAGACTTGTGACACATCTAAGCTTAGCTTACAAAATCACTATATATATATATATATATATATATATATATATAAAAAAAAATCAGATTAACAGAAGGTAATTGAATGAGAAAAATCCTATATTATGTTTTTTGAGATACTTCACACTAGAAAATGTTCTTATTGATGGAATCACACACACACACACATATATATATATATATATATATATATATATATATATATATATCAGGTCATCCCATAAGTTCTGTCAGAATTTTAACTTTTTGTTAAAATGAACAAAATTTAAAGAGTATTTTATAATGTCTAATGGAGCTGAACATTATTTTTATGTTTAGATGCATTTAAACTGATCAAATTTTATTTCAGAGAGCAATAAAATTAAATTTTGTTTGATTAAAACCCTGCTAACATGGAAGTACCCAAGAATCATTTGAGGCACATAATGCTTTATGAGTTCAAGAAAGGAAACTCAACAGCCGAAGCGGCTAGAAACATTCACTCAGTTTATGGAGAGGAATGTGTGAATGAAAGAACTTGCAGAAGACGGTTTGCAAAATTCAGAGGTGGAGATTTCACCCTCGAAGATGAAGATTGAACTGGACGTCCAGTTGAGTTTGATGAAAAGCTTCTTGAAGCAGCCCTTGAAGAAAATCCTGCTTTATCAGTTGAGGAATTGGCAGTGGTTAACAGTTCAAACCATACAACTGTTCATCATCATCTTCAACAACTTGGAAAAGTTCCTAAACTTGGAAAATGGGTGCCTCATGAATTGTCTGAAAACAACTTCAAATCCAGAGTTGACATCTGCTCTTCTCTCCATTCTCGCCAACTTGTTTCACCTTTTTTGGATAGACTTGTGACTGGCGATGAAAAATGGATCTTTTATCGAAATGTTAAGCATCGTAGACAGTGGCTTGGTAAAGGGGAAGGACCCCAGCCACAGCCGAGAAGGGATCTTCATGGGCAATAGGTTCTTCTTTCAATCTGGTGGGATTGCCAAGGAATAATCCACTTTGAATTCTTACCACCTAATGCAACAAATAATGCTCAAATATACTTTCAGCAATTAGAGCGTTTGAACCAAGCTTTGAGGAAAAAAGACCTGCTCTAGTGAATCGAAAAGGGGTGATGTTTCATCAGGACAATGCGCGACACCACACAGCAAGAATCACGTCACAAAAGATCGAAGAACTTGGTTGGGAGAAAATTCCTCATCCACCTTATTCCCCCAATCTTACTCCTTCAGACTACCATTTGTTTTAGCTTACAGAATCATTTCAAGAAACAGCTTTTGTAACACAGGAAGAGGTTAAAACTGACACATGTGAGTTCTTCAAATCAAAGCCAAAAAGAATTTTACAGTAATGGAATTAGTAAGCTTGTTAATAGATGGAAGGAAGTCATAGATAATCAGGGAAAATACATTGTTGATTGAATCTGTAATTAAATGTAACATTTGGTCACATGTTTTCTTCATTCAAAATTTGGACAGAACTTATGGGATGACTTTATATATATATATATATATATATATATATATATATATATATATAAAAATGATAGTACAGCTGAAAAAATGTGAAAATTACAAGGATTTCCTTTATTTTTCAGGCTAGCAAAACTTGCCAAAAAGTGATATCTATATATATATATATATATATATATA